GATCCACGCTCTAGATGCATTGCCGAACTTGACCTTGCCATGATGCCGGTGTCGAGCTCGAAGAAGGCGTCCCGGGAACCAATCATGTGGTTCAAGACGCCCGTGTCTAGAATCCAGTCCAAATCAATAGGCAACCCTTCATCCCGGAGAGGTGAGGGTGTTCCTCTTTCAGAGTTACCTCCCAATCAGCCATCAAGTGATCGGCGGCAGGGGCGAGCTCGCACACTTGCACCATCAAAAGTGTTGGCTTGCCTTCTTCCTTGGTCCGTTCTGGTTCAGCCACGACGAGGTTCGCCTAGGCCAGCTTCTCGCGATTGCTCTTGGCTTTGCGGCAGTCCATGGCCCAATGGCCAAGTTTGCCGCTATAGTGGCACTTGTCCTTGGAGAGGTTGCGGCCTTGGGCTTGCGCGTTCGACGGTCCAGACTTGCTATTAGTCTTGTTCCCATCACGCCCACGCCCGCCACGGCCGCGTTGCTGCGAGCTCAACGCGTTCACCCCCCCAGTGCCAGTGTCGTGGGAAGGGTGCCCACCATCCTTGGCAAAGAGTGCATGGCCCGTGTGCTCCCTGTCGAAATCCGGGTGGTCATCAACGATGAGGAGCCGGCCTGTGAGATCCTCGATGGAAAGATTACTCAAGTCAAGCAAAGTTTCAATGGACACTGCCATTTGATGATACCTGCAGGGTACAACCCAGAGCAGCTTCTGCACGAGCTTCTCCTTAGACATGTCATCACCAAGGAGGCGGAGGTTGCTGACAACCACCTGGAGCCAAAGGCTGAAATCCTCGACTTGCTCGTCGCTTCTGAATCCCATGGACTCAAAGGTTTGGCGAAGTTTTCTGTGCTCATGACTCCTTCACACTATGTGCCCCCAATCACATGGACTTGAGAGCGTCCCAGGCATCCTTGCATTGTCCTTCTCGGCGAGCGGCCAGAGCATCTCCACAAGCACGGCTCACAGGATTGCCGAAAGCACCTGGTGAACCTCGTGAAACGGCACGTTGCCAGCGTCGACAGCACCCCACAGGCCCTAAGCCTACAGGTTGACGTGCATCAACACCGCCCAGTCAGAGTAGTTGGAGCATGTGAGTATAGGATAGGAGATGAAGTCGCTCTCCTTGACGACCCGCTGCATGACGAGTTGTCATCTGCGTTGCCGCGGTGGAGACGGTGAACGTCACTCGCCCGCATGTGCGACGCGGCGTGTGGAACTGGCCACCAACGGGAGCTGACATGGCTCTGATACCAAATGTCACTTGCACGCTGATTTTCTCTCTGAAATTAGAAGAACGCACGCGGACAGAATTTTTGGTGCTGCAAACAACCCCGCGACATTTTCTGGTTTTCTTCTTTGCACTACTACAAAAGTGATTTTTATGTACGAGGCCCCCTCATTTTTCCATGCGGACCATAACTAGTGGCGTCTGCAAAAATCGAGGGTCATTTTCCTATATGGCTGCTTAAGTGGCCTGTATGGAAAAATCGATTTTCCCATACGGACCTCTTAAGAGGGCCGCATGCAGCTCACTTAAGCGCCCGCATGGAAAAATCGATTTTTCCATACAGGCTACTTAAGAAGCCGTATGCAAAAATAAAATTTGAAAAAATTGAAAAAATTGAAACTAGTGTATCTCACTCATATGAACTCCAAATTGGATGATTTTTTTTTCTAAATGTTTCTAAAATCATGCTCTATTATGTTATTGTGTTCTTACTGGTATTATTTTGGCTATTTTTTCTTGTGACTTTGTTTTATCAATTAAAAATTTGAATTTCAAAAGTTCAAATAATAGTTTTATAAAAACTATATAAGTGTGCATTTTGTGAACAATTTTACAAATCACTTTGTCGGATGAAGAAATGACCAAAATAGAAGTTATACAACTTTGTTATTGATGACTTTTTCAGATGAAATCATTTTGTATTTGAAAATGTTGTTTGAAGTTGTTATATTTTGAAATTCAAATTCAAACTGTTCAAACCAATACATATAGAAAAATGATCAATACAAAAGTTGTATATCTTGATAAGTTATACAACTTTGTTGTTGACAACTTTTCTATTTGAAATCATTTACTATGTTAAAAATTTATTTGAATTTCTTATATTATAAAGTTCAAATTTTATATAGTTCAATCAAACTCGGATGGAGAAATGACCAAAACAAAATTGGTAGATCTCAACGAGTTCTAAAACTTTGTTTTTGGTAACTTTTTCATATGAGTTCATTTAATATCATAAAATTTGATTCGAAGTTATCATATTTTTCAATTAATTTTTTAATAACTATTTTCGCATGCAGTCCACTTAAGGAGCCGCATGCAAAAATCGGCTCCTTAAGTAGTCCGCATGCAAAAATACCACCCTAATTTTTCATCTCCCTCCACTCTCTTTTCCTTCCCACCACTTCAAATTTTTTCTACCTCATCTCCTCTTTCCCCCTATTAATTTATTACTCTTTCCCCTCTCTCTCTCCTCTCTCTCCCTCTCTCCCTCTCAGAGTAGCTGGGCGGCGGATGGCAACGGTGTCGATGGCATCGGCGGGTGGCGGATCCTGCGGCGCCGCCCTCGGGAGGGCCGGATCCACCGCCATAGGGAGTGGCTACAGCGGCGGCGAGCGGCACGGCTACGGCGGCGGCTCGGCGTAGCAGCTACGGCCCCTGCTCCGTAGCGGCGTCGATGGCATCGGCGGGCGGCACGGCTACGGCGGCGGCTCGGCGGCCCGTCACCCCCCTCCTCACCGCCGCCGACAACAACAACGATGAGGCGACCCTCCCCCCTTCCTCAACGCCGCGACGGCGGGGGCGGCTTGGCCGCCTCGGGTGGCGCCGCCGCACCACGCGGATCCGGCGGGGGCGATGACAGCGGGCGGCGGGGGAGACGGATCTGCCGCCGGCGACGACGCCAGGCGGCTGGGGCGACGGATCTGGTGCCGCCACCAACAGATCCGGCGGGGGCGGCGGGGGGAGACGGATCCACCGCCGGCAACGACGCCGGGCGGCTGGGGCAACGGATCCGGTGGGGGCGACGACGGCGGGCGGCGGTGGGGCGGCGGGGGCGATGGATCCGCCACCGGCGACGGCGTGCGGTGTGGATGCGGCGCTCCGGTGGTGGGCTAGGGTTTGGGATTTTTGGATATTTATTTTTTTTGTTTGCTGAATTTATTTTCGCAAGCGGCCGGTATAAACGACCGCATGTGAAAATCGCATCTTTGTATGTGGATGCGCCAGCCGCATGCAAAAAGAGTGGTTTTTGCAGACGATTTTGTCCATGCGGTTGGGACAACCGCATGCAAAGATGCTTCCCAACCGTATGGAAAAACCCTTTGTGTAGTAGTGTCGACTTAAGTACTAAGCTTACATGCAGACTCCAAGAAATGAAAAACCCGAGAGGCCAAAAAGACCTCCGCCTCTCGCGTCATCACCCACATTGAGGCGAAACTGCGACCTCTACTGCTAAAGACTCGCTCGGCATGACTGGACCAGAGCACAACGCCCACACTGCAAAAACGCAGTCGTGTACAACGAAAGACAACAAGAAACACGAGAAAATTAAAAAAACAGACCGACAAAAGACGTGCTACAGTGAACATGAAAAACACACAGGATTACAATTGCGAACAGCGGCATCGATCGTGGGACGTGTGGCATTCGGCAGCGAGAAGAGGGTGGAAGCGACGATGGCTACCAGCAGGGGCAGCAGCGGCCACGATCCGGGTCCCTAGTGCTTTCCGATCGAAGTAAGTTCTATTTGCATAGAAATCCATGCACAAATTATTAATTTTGATTAATGTAAAATTTCAAGTCCACAAAGGTTTTCTTGTAGATTTGTTTGGGAGGCGATTCTCAAGGATAAGTGTGACATATGAATATAGATGGCCATAAGGCCCGCCTGGCACGGCCCAAGGCAATCGGGCCAGCACGGCACGGTCGGCCGTGCCTGCCCACGGGCTGCACCTCAGGCTTAGGCACGACCCAGCAGCAGTCGGGCCGTACCATGCCAGCCCGAAGGCACGGGCAGCCCATCGTGTCTTCTTTGAAATAAGTCTATTTTTCTATCTCCTCTTTGGGCTGTGACATATATATAACTAAAATAAGTCTATTTTACCTCCCACTTTTTTGGGTCGTGCCATAATACATCTATTTTTCCTCCTTATTTTTGTGCGTGTCTTACATATGGTTGAAAATAAGTCTCTATTTTGCATCCCTGAACTTCGTGCCAGACCGTGCTGGCCTAGCGTGCCAAGGTAGCGTCCCAGGCACGGCACGGCTGTCTGGCCGGGCTGGCACGGGCACGACCCGAGTAAGGCCGTGTCGTGCCTGGGCCAGACCAAATCACCGGGCCTTGGGCCGGGCTGTCGGGCCTCAGGCCATATGGCCATCTATACATATGAATGCACGCACGGTTCAATCAAACCAAATCTTGGCCACCCACCACTGCCTCACTTGTGCTAGCACATGCATGGACGCGAAACGATCCCTGACTAGGCATCTGGATGAATATCGGTTTGTGCGCCAGCATAAATCGGCTTTGAATGGAAGAGATTACCAGCTTTGGCAAGGGTGATCCTTGAGTTGGCCATGGTGGCATGATCAATTGGAAAACTATCAAAAATATCCCACTACGATCCTGTTTAGCACAACTCTAAATCTTTTTTTCTAATTCTAAATCTCAGATCTATATATGGTAGGATTTATCGGCGTTGTGCTTCTAGTGGTAGGCGACGTACCCGTCGATAGCGAGGCGCCTGTGGTGACTTCGTCAATCTCAAGTATTTACCGGCGCAGTCTTCGAAGATGCTCATAGGGGTAGGGTTTGCGTGCATGCGTTTATAGGGGTGAGTGCGCGTGTGTTGTGAGTGTCTGTATTGTACTCTGTAATTTCAAAAAAAAATGGGAACAAAATTATTTATCCAAATGTATATTTAGATCTATGAATTTATGGAGATAGAATAACCAGCAAAAATAAATATTGGATCCGGAGTCGTGCCAAAAAGGATCTAATAGCAACATTGCACGAGCTTATCTAACTTTTATTATTCCACTGTTTATATAATGGTACACTCTATTGTCATTAACTCACGCGATTTCCTCGTTTATATTGTAACAAATTTTATTTTACTTCTATGTACCCTACACATAGCCCATCGGAAGCAAGGTTTACACCCTTTCTTTATCAAATAAAGAAATTGTGTAGTCTTTTGTCATGTTTCCGTGCAACTGCATGGTTCAGATAGTCATTTTTTTTAACATAGTTCATCAGCCCACAGATGTATGGTGCTTTCTTGCTGATGTTTGATCCAGCTATCCTTGGCCTCCTGCTCCAAACTGAATGTTGAGTTCATAGTTACATCTTCAAATATGATATCCCACATATTCTCCGAGAATAAAGACATGTCAGGCACTGCAAACAAATTTTCAGGCTTCATATCGTTCTTAGGCTGATGATCATCCGAATGATTAGTCAGCCTTGTGCTAGCATATTTGTCGTTGATGGAAGAGTATTTTGGGGAATCTGTCTCAACAATGTCTGGACACACCATGTCATTGCCAAACTTGCATGTATGTTTGCCAAAGTAATCAACGTTGTAGAGTTTCACCACACTGTTGCTGCTATTGTCATTCTCTATTTGTTGCACAGTCTTGGTTGCCATACAACCTTGTCCTTTTTGGTTGGTGCATCTATAATAACTCCTGGAGACATGCATGTACATTGCAGCATTATTGCATGTCCTAAAGTACACAAACTTTTGTCAATTTAGTATCTGTAATTGAGTGGTAATCGACTTCTAACCTGGAGTGCTTGGTTTTAGAAATTGACTTTTGCCCATACTTTCTCCATTCATATCCATCGTAATCTGGAGTTGCTGTAACAACTGAACCGGTGTGCTGAGCATTCTTCCTGCAAACATGAAAATAACAAATTATACATCCGTTATTCCTTACTCCAGCCATGCCATCCCCTAAGATTTTTTACATCTTCTCAAAATGAGTGTAGTATCATCTAACAAGTGTCTTTTCGTTTATTCGTGCCAACGGTAAATATGCATCATTAAAGGTGTTGCATGCAACCAAGCAAGGATAATTTTTATTAGTGCAATGACATGCAACATTTAAAGTATGAGCAATCCACGAAACACGAATCGACGAAACACCTTAACCGATGAGGATTAATTTGAGAATGATGAATATTTAGGCTCCGTTCGTTACCTCCCTTTCCCAACCTCCCTCTCTCGTTTTTCGCACGCACGCTTTTCAAACTGCTAAACGGTGCGTTTTTTGTAAAAAATTTCTATATGAAAGTTGCTTAAAAAATCATATTAATCTATTTTTAGAAAAAAAATAGCAAATACTTAATTAATGATACAATAATAGGTGCTTTGTTTTGCGTGCCGCCCGAACACAGCCTTAGGTGTCCCTGGGCCTTTTACGTAGGCCATCCCAACCCAGAAACTATCAAGTAGTTTCTATACTTGCCATATCATATAGACACTATGTGTAGAAACTATACATCCAATGGATGGTGTCTTCAAATTAAATTCCCATTCAATCATCTCTCTTCTCTCTCATTTTATCCAGCTATCCCATTATTTTCATTCTTGGTTATTGTGTAGGCCATTCCCAACCCAATGACTAGGATGATGTCCATAGCATTAAATAAGTTGTCACATCGGATAAAAAATGATGTGGCAAGTGAATAAATGAGGAAAGAGAAGGAAACCATGTCTTGCATAAGACATGGTTTCTACATAACATCCAAGACATCATGTAAGATAAATAATATTAAATTTAAGTATGGAATAGTGGTGTTTGCATTTAAGAGTAGTGTTTTAGTACTAGTTTCTTGATGATGTGGAGTTTATGGAAACTATGTCTGGTGTCTTGGGTTGGGAATGACCGTAGAGATGGTTTCTTGCATGAAAAATGGTTTCATCTTTTTACATCTCTCCTCATTAACTTTCTTGCCACATCATATTTTTACTTATGTGGTGATGTATTTAATGTTATAGACACTAGATGACATAAAGGGTTGGGGATGGCCTTAGGAGCTGATTAAACTGGGATGGAGGGAGAAATTCCTAAAAGAACAAAATAATTAAACACTTTATTAAGTATATTTTCGGAGAAACGCACCTTCTCTTGTTTTTGGTAACTGTACCATCCTCAATAAAGACCTTCATGTTGTCTAAAGCATTCCTACCATTCCCTTTGTCTATTCCAGGATCCGAGTTCCCGCCGTCACATACCTCAGCCTGAATTTTGGAAATAATTCCATTGGAGCAGCAGAGAATATCATCGAAGGCATGTACAATATGATCTGCTTGCACGTTGTTGAATCGAAGGATTGGTATGATGTGATTCTTCAGATCAATAAGAAGACCGTGCTCTCGTTTCATCTCCTGAATGATCATTCGGTGGTCAATGCAACAGAAGGATTCAATATTGGCACTCATCTTCAGTTACATAAAAAGTGATAATACCGAATCCTTAGCTTGCTAAATACTTCAGTTCCCTTGCAGATATTTATAATACGATTGCATGAATGAATGTGGGGAAGCCTGGAACTAATAATTAGAACAAGTCAACAGCAAAACAGTACCCAGCTACATCGTAGGGATGTGTTGTCACTATTGGAGAAACCATCTTTATCGGGTCGGCCAAAATCCACAGTAACCCTAGTTCATTAAAAAACCGGGACTAAAAAGTACCTTTAGCCCCGGTTATAAGCGCAGCAAGAAGGGGTCGTCAGCCACCCTCCTCCCCCAAGATCTTTAGTCCTGGTTGATAACACTAACCGGGACTAAAGATCATGCAGATATTTACACCCAGTTGGTAACACCAATCGAGACTAAAGTTAGCTTCCTTTATATATGTCTTCTTCCTCCTTCAGCCTAAGCTAAGCTTCAAAATTTCTTGAGGAGGGGAGGTGCTGCTAAAATTTTCTGTGAATTTATTTTGGTGATAATATACAAATTGGAGGTGTCTAAAAAGTAAGCAACTTTATCCTCCAATGTTTTTTCTTAGCATATTACATTTAGAGTTATGTTTTGTATACATTATTGCCTCTAAAAACTTTGATGGAAGTTGATCATAGAGAAAATTTGTGTAGGAAAGAAAGAATATAGAAATTTTGTTTATTTAGAATTTTATAAAAAGATGTGATAACAGAGTTGAGAAGGAAAAAATATTGAAAATTAATCTAAAAGAATAGAAAACAAAGTTAATTTAAAATTAAAATAAGTACAAGACATTAAATATTTGTTTACAACTTTAAAAAAATTAAAACAAGAATGATATGTGGGATTATTTTATAATTATAGTATGAATAATTATATATAATTATTGTATAATTGCTTAATTGGTATGACTTTTGTTGTTTATTTTTACGATTTTTGTGCATTTCATGTAGATGGATCAGCAATGGTTGTATGCGGACCGACGGTCGAAACAGTTTATTGACGGCGTGCATTATTTTTTGGGAGTGGCCGATGCTAACAAGCATAAGGGTTTTATCTGTTGTCCATGCATTAAGTGCAAAAAAAAATTAGAAGGGGTATTCTGCATTAAGAACTATTCATTTCTACTTGCTTGAGTCGAGGTTCATGCTTAGCTATAATTGTTAGACCTCGCACGGAGAGCTAGGGGTTCAAATGGAAGAAGATGAAGTGGAAGACGAGAACATTCTGGACTGGGCTCAGTACGATGGATTTGAAGGAAATAGAACGGGCGAGGTGGACGGGGCTGTTAAAGATAACAACGCTGCGGATGATCTTGGTCAGATGCTGCGGAATGCCAAGGAGGACTGTGAAAGTGAAAAGGAGGTCTAGAAATTAGAACGTATCTTAGCGGACCACAAAACATCATTGTACCCAGGTTGCGAACAGGGGCACAGAAAGTTGGGTACCGCTCTGAAAATTGTTGTAATGGAAGGCAAAAAATGGTGTTAGTGAGAAGGCATTTGGCGATTTATTGAAACTCGTAAAGAATATTCTTCCGGAGGGAAATAAATTGCCCAAAACAACGTACGAAGCTAAGAAGATAGTCTGCCCTCTAGGACTGAAAGTTCAGAAGACATACACATGTCCGAACGATTGTATCCTCTATCGCGGTGAGGAGTACAAGAACCTAGAATCATGCCCTGTTTGTAAGGCACTACGATACAAGATTAGACGAGATGATACAAGTGAAGTTGACGGACAACCATCGAAGAAGAGAATTCCTGCTAAGGTGATGTGATATTCCCCTATAATACTACGGCTCAGGCGTTTGTTCAGAAACAAAGAGCATGCTAGAATGATGCGCTGGCACGCAGAAGAACATGGGATGTTGAGACACCCCGCCGATGGTTTGCAGTGGCGAAACATCGACAGAACATTTAAAGACTTTGGAGATGATGCACGAAATGTAAGATTCGGTTTAAGTACGGATGGCAAGAATCCATTTGAAGAGATGAGCAGAAGCCATAGCACTTGGACTGTTTGCCAAAGTAATCAACGTTGTAGAGTTTCACCACACTATTGCTGCTATTGCCATTATCTATATGTTGCAGAGTCTTGGTTGCCATACAACCTTGTTCTTTTTGGTTGGTGCATTTATAATAACTCCTGGAGACATGCATGTACACAAACTTTTCTCAATTTAGTAGCTGTAATTGAGTAGTAATCGACTTCTTACCTGGAGTGCTTTGTTTTAGAAATTGACTTCTGCCCATACTTTCTCCATTCATATCCATCGTAATCTGGAGTTGCTCTAACAACTGAACAGGTGTGTTGAGCATTCTTCCTGCAAGCACGGAAAGAACCAATTATACATCCGTTATTCACTACTCCATTCATGCCATTTTGATCATCCCCTAAGTTTTTCTACGTCTTCTCAAAATGACCATCATCTAACAAGTGTATTTTCATTTATTTGTGCAAACAGTAAATATGCATCATTAAAGGTGTTGCATGCAACCAATCAAGAGTAATTTTTATTAGTACAATGACATGCAACATTTAAAGTATGAGCAATCCATGGAACACGAAGCGACGAAGCACCTTAACTGAAGAGGATTAATTTAAGAATGATGAATATTGTGCCTTTTACTTAGGAGCTGATTAAACTAGGATGGAGGGATAAATTCCTAACTAGAACAAAATAATTAAACACTTTATTATCTTTCTTTTGTTTTTGTAACTGTACCATCCTCAATAAAGACCTTCATGTTGTCTAATGTCGAAACAGTACTAGAAGAGCGGTTTTTCCGTGCGGTCAAATGTGATTTTCGCGTGCGGGAGGGTGGCCCTCACGCACCCAAGGATCTGCGAAAATCATGATTTTTGCATGCGGGTGGCGCACCCGCAAGCGAAAATCTGATTTTCGCGTGTGGGTGCTTATGTCGGGCGCACGAAAAAACAAAAATCCAAAAATTTTTCAAAAAAATGAATCCGGTGGCACCGCCTCATCGTCCTCGTCGGCTGAGGACCCTGCTCCCACCCTCGTCGTCGTCGATGGCAGCCTCCGCGCAGCCGTCCGCCCTCCCGCCGGTCTCCGTGGCGCCTGCCGCCGGCATCCGTGCTCCCCTCCGGCCGCACCGCTGCCGACGCCCCTCCCCTCCGCCGGATCTGAGGAGGGAAGGAAGGGGAGGAGAGCGGAGCCGGATCCGCGCTCCCGCCAGCTTCCGTGCTCCCCTCTAGCCGTAGCGCCGCCGATGCCCTTCCCCTTCGCCGGATTTGGGGATGGAAGGAAGGAGAGGGGAGGGGAGTGGGATCCCTCAGGGGAGAGGGCGGCCGGTCACCGGATCCGTGCGGGGATGGCCGCCGCCCACCAGATCCCGCGCGCCGTTGCCGCCACTGCCTCCGTCGGGACTCAGGAGGGGAGGAGAGGAGAGGACGGGGAAATAGAGGAGAGGATAGAAGAAAAAGAGAGAGAGGAGAGGAGAGGACGGGGAAAAAGAGGAGAGGAGAGAAGAAAAGGAGAGGAGAGAAAGTGGGGAAAATTTAAAGTGGGTAGGAGGGAAAAATAGGTTGGGTATTTTGGCGTGCGGCTCTCTTAATAGGTCCTCACATGAAATAGACTCATTTTCGCATGCGGTCCATTTAAGAGGATCGCACGGAAAAATCAATTTCTCCGTGCGGTCCTCTTAAATGGACTGCACGCAAAAATAAGCCTATTTTCCTAGACACGACTAGTTATGGTCCGTCTGCAATCTAAATGAGTCCCTATTCACGAAAATTGTTTTTTAAGTAGCGAAAGCATTCCTAACATTCCCTTTGTCTATTCCAGTATCCGAATTCCCGTCATCACATGCCTCAGCCTGAATTTTGGAAATAATTCCATTGGAGCAGCAGAAAATATCATCGAAGGCATGTACTCCCTCCACCCCATAAAAAACGAATCTAGAACCGGATGTGACAACTACAAATCTAGACATGGCCCTGTTTAGATTTCAACTTTTTTCTTTAAAATTTCAACTTTTCTATCACATCGAACTTTCCTACATATACAAACTTCCAACCTACCAATTTCTTCAAACTTCCAATTTTGACGTGGAACTAAACATAGCCATATATGTCCAGATTTATAGTACTAGGATATGTTACATTCGGTACTAGATTAGTTTTTTATATAGTTTTTTATATGACGGAGGGAGTACAGTATGATCTGCCTGCACGTTTTTGAGTCGAAGGATTGGTACGTTGTTGAGTCGAAGACCGTGCTCTCTTTTCATCTCCTGAATGATCATTTGGTGGTCAACGCAACAGAAGGATTCAATGGCACTCATCTTCAGTTACACAAAAAGTGATAATACCGAATCCTTAGCTTGCTAAATGCTCCAGTTCCCTTGCAGATATTTATATTACGATTCCATGAATGAATGTGGGGAAGCCTGGAACTACTCCAATAATTAGCACAAGTCAACATCAAAACAGTACCCAGCTACATCGTAGGGCTGTATTGTTATTCAAAGGGAGGGTACTGCATTTAGGATCGTCAACATCAAGAAAGTACAGAGATATCAAAAGAGTGGGTACTATCATAGCTAGCATTGTCAACATCGAAGCAATACATCAACCAATCTCAAGCTAGTTTCCCATTGGTCCATGTGGCACAATATTTGCTCAGACCTAGCGCCATAGAATATCAGAGCAGGTACCATAGCAGGCTATTAGCTAGCTACAAACATATTTTAATAAGATAAAATATGAGATATTAGAGCAGCAGGCTAAAGATCTGTAGCCAGCTGCAGCACGGATTCCAAGACACAATATGTGTATGACAGGTGGGACCATATACTAATAGTATAGTAAGCAATTATTGTATGAATTCGCTATTAGATTGGCTATAGATGAATTGAAGCTAGTAGTGGGCTATACTATTAAACTTGCTCTCAAGGGCAAACTCCAACTGTCGCCTCTAATCATCTCCGTGTTATTTTGCAGCTGATTCTAAAGCTAACTATAGTACAATAAGTTGGCTAGTTGTGGTGGCTGCACCTCATCTAACAAATAATTAAGAGAGAATTTATTCTATACCACTGAGTTTGTTCGAGTTTAACGATTTACCATCGATATTATCTTTTTCTATAATATACCGATGACTTTATCAATTGTTTTACAATACGCCATTGGACTAAGCCTCATTTTAAAAATACCTAAAATACCCTTATAGACATACAAGGTTAACCATTAATTTATCCCATTAGAAGTTTCAGAAAAATATAAAAACTTTTATGTGGCCTCTTTACACATTTAAATTCGTATAGATGTTTCAAGTTTTTTACATTTCTATTTTTATAAAAAAATATAACTATTTGTTATATGCTATATAAAACACTTCTTTATCGTTGTTTTTAATATAAATCATCTTTCCTAAACTACATATATAAGATATTTTTTATTAAATCTTTTATAAGCAGATTCTCTCTCACATACGGCATAAAGATTTTTTTTTCTAAAAACTACATATACCAGAAAAAACTTTAAACTTGTATACAAACTTTCATGTTGTGTACAGAGGCCACATAAAAATTTTCATATTTTTGTGAAACTTCTAATAAGATAAATCAATTGTTAATTTTGTATGTCTATAAGGGTATTTTTAAAACAAGGCTCAGCCCAATGGCATATTATAGAACAATTGATAAAGTCGCCGGCATATTATAGAAAGAGACAATATCGATGGCATATCATTGAACTCGAACAAACTCAATGGTATAAATGGTATAGAATGGATTCTCTCAATAATTAATTATATATATACACATATCTTCACGGCGGAGCTACATTATCGAGGAGGGGGTTCCAGGAAGCCGGTTAAGAAAAAAATTTAACTATAGTTTCACCATATATGCATCCAGTCAATTCAAAAGTCAATTCAAACTCAAACTCAGACACCTGTATTAGCTTAAACTCAGTCAAAAACATTGTAGAGCAAACGAGTGGCATCCTCTCCATTTAATTCTAGTTCCGCCTCTGCATACCACTACGTGAGATTATTACTACTACATAACTCATCATCATGAACGACCGATCCATGTTGGGGCTTTGAGGGATTGAAATAAATGTAAAATCAAATGTGTTTTTGATTATTATTCTGTGATGAAGAATTGGCATTGGAGATTATTGGATTTACAGGTGAATCGTAGGTTTATCATTTTATATGGACCGGTCAGACCGGGCCGGTGCGGCCGGTCAGACCGGCGTGTATTGCGCGGTCAGACCGGCGCAGCCTGTGGTCTGACCGGCCGACGCTGTGTCAGTTTCGGTTTCGGGTTATTTGTTTGGATATCCGTGATTATTTCATGATTATGACTTCTAGATGCATGGATACTATATGTATGTAATACCGTTGTTTGCTACTAATGAGTCAAGTTGGAGATAGCTTGGTCTTGGAATATGGTTTCTTTGTTTATTTCATGTGTAGGTGGTTTGATGCCTCGGGAGAGTATTTGCGGTGATGGACCGCGAGTCGGCTTGGGATAAGACGACGTCCGTGGTGGTCAGAGATCATACGGAATACTTAGGCTAGAGTTGATGCACATGGTTGATGGGGATTCCATATGGCATACGATGGAGGTATTGTGTAACATCCTCAAATTTTAAACTAAAATTTGACTGCATCATGCTGGTTTTAAATCTTAGACTAGCAAAATCAAAATTCCCTTTAAAAGTTCTCTTTTTATTCTTGATTTTGGTTCAAGTATTACCCCTAGAATTCTCTTAACCTAGTTTACCAATAAACCATAAATTGTTGCCCTATCCTAAACCTTAGTGAATTCAGCAAATTTCCTTCAAATTCCAAACCTATTCTTATTTATCGCCAAATATCTAAATACCTCCTTTTGATCTAGCCGCCAATTTAATTCATGTGGCTTGATTTCCTCTTCGGCACAAGAATAATATTATTACAAATATTGTGAATAATTGCTCTTGTGCTAAGAAAATATATTTTATCCTTCCCTTCCACAAATCCAAATTCCTATTAGCCTCAAATACTTCTCTAAAATCCATGCCATGTACTTTGGGGCTAAAAATCCTATTTATCTTCCTCTTAGTTTGCTTGCCTCATTCCCAAAAATATTTTGAGGAATTATATTGTTAATTTCTCTCTCATTTGAGTGCTTCCAAATAAATTCCCTCAAACTCCACCTCAAAATATTGCACTCAAATAAATTAGGAAATCTCCTTTGTGAATTCTCTCCGAATTCAAATTCTTCGCAAAACCTAGTTATCCAAATCAAATATACAAATTAGACTTCTTTCTTTTTGTCATCGGGCCGAAACTCTGTTCTGTTTTCCTTTTGGCCCAATCCTTTTTCTTTCTATTTTCCTCCTTCCTCTTGGGCTGCCGGCCCAGCTAAGCCGAGCCGGCCCAAATCAGCCCACACCCCAGCCGAGCCGCCTCCTCCTCCCGTGCGCGTGTTGCGCACGGCGCACGCCGCCGCCAACTCGTTTCCGTCGCCGCTAAGAAAACAGAGCCGGCCGCCGTTGCCCTTCCCTGCACGCCACTGCTGTCGTCGTGTCCCTCTTGCCCTCCTCCTCCAAACTGACGTCAGCCGCTGAGCCGAACCGACATGCTCAGCCAATCACGAGCGGAAGCCGGCGCCGTGTCCCTCTTCCTCACGCGCGCCGCCGCCGGCGCCGTTTTCTTCTCCCCTAAGCAGCCGTCGCCGTGCCTTCCTCGTCCTCCTCCGGACCGACCTCCGCCGCCTATAAATAGCCGGCCATCCCTCTTCTTTTCCCCACAAACCGAGCTCTCTTCTCTCTCTCCATCCATGGCCGATCGTCGACGCCGTCGGTCGATCTCCCCATCCGTAGCTCCACCTCCCCTGTCCTCGCGCCACCGGCTTCGCCTCCATCCGGCGAGTCCGTTTTTCCCCTTTCCCCTCTTCCTCCACCTCTAAGTCAAGCCACCACCGCCATCATCCATGCCGGCTCGAGGTGAACCCTTGCCGCCGCCGTTCCGGCTATATATCTCTCCCTCTCGGCCAGCCACCTACCTCCCCGGGTGCGCGTCGCTCGGGAACACGCGTGGCCACCGCCGTCAAGGCCGTTCATCCACCGGAGCATCGGCGCCCCTCCTCTCCCTTCTCTCTGTTTGCTCGGCTGGAAGAGAAAAAGAAGCAGAAGAAGGAAGGAAGGAGGAAGAAGAAAGAGAAAAGAAGAAGAAAAGACAAATAACTGACAGGTGGGCCCCTGTACAGTACTATTTCGTAATTTCCCTATTTAATTTGAATTCCAAACTTTAGAAGCCTATATCTTTTAAAATATAAACCCAATTCCAGTGAAACTTGGACCAAAATTCTTCTAAAATCTTTCTCTATCTTTTGAGGCTATTTTTGCTATTTTCTCATTTTATTTCGTTTTTGCCTATTTTTGGATTTTATTCGAATTCCTTTTGAATCTGAATTTTATATATCTAACCCTAGGTCTTGAGGATTCTTCTGACACACTAGATAATATCAGTCAATCTCAGGACATCGAGCAAGGCAAGTTACCATATACCTTTTGATCATTTAAGTCTATATTTTACAAATTATTTAATTATAGCCTTCTATTCAATATTCTATTTTCTATGCATAAATTAATCATAGAAACCCAGATAATTTAGTATTGCTTATTTTGCTTACAATCTGGTTAAAATACCCTATACTTAGATTGGGACAATACGTATGATTTGGATGATTTCCGGGTGGCTAGTATTGTCTCAATCGATATAAGTTCTACCAGGTACTTATGTCGAACGAACGGGTACGACCGCAGTTTCTAGAATGGGGACAGACCTAGTTATTAGGTTAATTGGCAATATGGCACCTCTGTATAGTGGTTCTTATTTTTAAGTCCTCGTGCAGGAGGCAACTATAGCCGCGAAGGGCAAATTTAACCATTACCATGTACAGGTAAATGGTTTGCGATACTCGAGTATAAATTATATGGTATATTTCTAAACCCTGATCGAGATGACATGGTGTCATACGATCAGTTCCCCTTAAATACCTCGGGAACGCCAGAACTCCTCTTGCTGCTGTTAATATTACGTTCAGAGCATATGAGGATACAAGTTCATGGAACAGGTGCCATAATTGTTAATGACTTAATGCTGGGCCATGACTAAAGCCGATAATTATCAGCAAGTCGTGGACTGCGGGTAAAGCGTACATCTGCTGCAGTAGAATATCTTTGAAACTATTCGAATAGCCGTACTCATGGAGTTGAGTACCGGGACTCATATGGTACCCTGGTTAGAAATCTAAAGTTTATATGTTTTATAAATTCTGCTATAACTTTTCCAGATTGTCCAATACCGCTTTTTGCAAAGAACCCTATTATATGTCAATGCATATCATATTTCCGTGATAACTTGCTGAGTATTGCGAATACTCACCCTTGCTCTTATTAACCCTTTTTCAGATTTGGGTCAAGAGGAGGACCCCTGTGATTATTATTATGATGACTCTGATAACTTAGAAAATCCCTAGAGGTTATACCTTCCTAGTCAGAATGTACTAGAACTTCCGCTGTGTAATATTAGTACCTATGTTTAATTAGGTGAGTACCTACCCTTGTAAAACCCCTAGTATTGTAAACTTTAACGTATGCAATGAAGAACCAGTTGTATTACATGTATCAATATTTACTGATCCAGGGATTGATACATTAATTTCAGTCGGATCCAAGTTATTAGTTTTGGGCTCCGACAGGACTGGTATCAGAGCATATGTTTTGACTATAGGACAAACCCTAAGGATTATTAACCAATTTAAGTTTGAGTTTACTTCAAACTTAATGTTTTAAGGGGGGTAGATTTGACTTGCGAACACACAATATATATTCTATTTATGTATTTCAGGTTAATGGCAGAAAGGCATGAGCGAGAACATATTGAGACGGTAATTTCTATCCATAATAATGACTACACTGATAAGCTAATCAAGTTAATGACGAAGCTAAAGATAAGTGAACAACCGGAATTCTATTCTCATGCTTATCGGAAGGAGATCATTGGGAATATGATATGACCATAAAGATCAACCCACCTAAAGGAGAAGATGATATATACTATTTCCGGATGCGTCATAGGCGAGACACGCTATAAACTGTTTTATATGATGCATCTAGGGAGGCTTTCCTATGCCTCCACCATATTTATCAAGACAAGTTTCTGCATTCTCGATATTTATTTCATCCTATGCGAGAACCAGGCGAAGACTATTGCACCCTCCAGAATAGACCGTCATCAACAACCAGTGAAGGAAACCATGTCTGTATGGATGAAAGCTGCTGATGACATGTATGAGGAAGCCCTAGAACACATGGATATGCAACACAAACGTTTGGAAGATGCTAAGCGACAAGAAGCTATTCTTAAGTACAAATATCATATATTACAAGAATTGTATGATGTGAAGGATAAGCGAATTCTATATTTAATATTTGTATTACGGGCGCGTCATTCCGTCTTCACCAAGTCCCTGGGATAGATAGTGATGATGACGATGATGATGATATGGACGGACATATCTCACCGGTATGTGGGGATGAGCCACAAGGGCCAAATCCTCAAGATAATGGTGAGGGAATTCTACAAGGCTTACCATCATCGCCGCCATTATATCCTATCCATTCCGAGGATGAAGCTGAAGAAACGCTCTCAACTATGGACATTAATGAGCCTAGTCAGGAGCTTGAAGTAGCAAGGGGAACCCGGATGTTTCATATTAATGACCTAAATGTTCCCCCAATCTGGACTGAAACTCCAGAAGAAGAAGATGATCCAGAAGAACAAGTGTTCGAGATGCAAGAACATATTTCTATGTATGCTGATGATTAAGGAGATGATGAAGATCCTTACCCATGCTCTGCCCCTAATACTGCTGCATCTTCTGCACCTCATCTTGAATTTTTTTTACACTTCGCACTTGCATCGTTATTCACTAACCCCGCGGAAGGTAGTGGTGAGTGATTTGATGATTAGGAGTTGTAGATAGTGTGTTAATAGTTAGAGGTCATATAAATAAATAAACTTGCTAGTATAGGTTAGCAAATGACCATACTCCTCTCTAACCCCTATGTGAAATTACCCCTTCCTTGGTTTCTTTTGCTTTCTTTCTTGTTTCTTCTTTTGCTTTTGGTTATTACTTTTCTAGTATGCATCATTTACAATACACTATCCAGAAATAAAATCTATGGTTAATTAAGGATGTTAACTCCCCTTTGAAAAGACAACAATTATCCTTGTCTAGATGAATTCAGTCAATGGCAGTTCAGGTTAAGGTGAGACAGGAGATATTCCTCCTCCAAATCCTGCCACCTTAGCAGAAGTAATGGCAAGACAAACCCAACTATTACAGGTTATAGCACAGAATCAAGGAAATAAAGGTTAAAGCGCACATGCAGAATTCATAAGGATTAAACCACCAGTCTTTTCTAAATCCAAAGAAACTATAGACGCCGAGGACTGGCTAAAGGCTATCAAAAAAAAATTAGCCTTAGTCAGAACAAATGAGCAAGAGAATGTAACCTTTGCAACCCATCAGCTAGAAGGATCAGCCAATGAATGGTGGGAAGCATATCAAGTCTCTATAGAAGACCCCACCCATATTACCACATGGGCAGAATTTACTACAGCCTTTAGAAATACCTTCATACCCACTGCAGTAATTAGAATGAAGAAGAATGAATTTCGAAGACTAAGGCAAGGTTTTATGTCAGTACAAGAATATTTAAACAAATTTACACAACTTGCTCGATATGCTGCCTCGGACATTCAAGATGAAACAGAAAAGATTGAAAGGTTTATAGAAGGATTATGCTATGAGCTACGAGGACTGATGATCAGCTAAAATCATGAAATTTTTCAAAGCTTAGTCAATAAAGTGGTCAGGCTAGAGAATGACCGCAAGATAATGAAAGGACTTCGTAAACGAGGAATGAATCTTCAACGACAATCTCCAACTAAAAATCCGCAACAGATTCGGAAGCCCTATCCTTTTAAGCCATCTCTATTTAATACAAGGCCGGGTATGCCACCAATAATCCAAATACCAGGTATTAGTATGGAAGATTCCCCATGCTATGTTTGTAGGAAGACTGGACACTTTGCAAGACTATGCCTCAATCACCAAAACACAGTGCCCAGACTTCCAATCAAAAACCACCTACCTCAGGCTTGATAAAGAAAAATCCTCCAATCATTAAAGTTGGACCAAATTTTGAACGCGGCAAAGTACACCATATTAAGGCAAAAGAAGCTCAGCAGGACCCTGACATCTTAATGGGTATGTTTATCATAAACTCTAAACCAGTTATTGTCCTATTCGATTCCGGTGCTTTTCATTCCTTTATATCCACAAAAGCCAGTTGAATCCAGTGTCTACCTAAAGATATATTTGTATGCTTATACCAAAAGAAGAAGTGCCAGTGGTGCAAGAGTATCTGGATGTATTTCCAGAAGAACTACATGAATTACCCCCAGATCAGGAAATAGAATTTGTTATAGAACAACTTCGTGGAACAACACCTATATCAAAAAGACCTTATAGGATGCCAATTAATGAATTAGAAGAATTGAAGAAACAAATAGCCGAGTTGGAAGAAAAAGATTTTATTCGACCAAGTTCTTCACCTTGGGGAGCTCTTGTGCTATTTGTTAAGAAGAAAGATAGAAGTTTAAGGATGTGTGTATATTATCGAACTCTAAATGAAGTAACTATCAAGAATAAATATCCCTTGCCAAGGATCAATGATCTATTTGATCAATTAAAAGGAGCTAGCGTATTTTCTAAAATAGATCTTCGATCGGGGTATCATCAATTGAAGATCAGACAAGAAGACATACCAAAGATTGCCTTTGTAACAAGGTATGGATTATATGAGTTTACAGTTATAGCATTTGAACTAACAAATGCTCCGGCTTATTTTATGAATCTCATGAACAACATATTTATGGAGTATTTGGACCAGTTTGTTGTCGTGTTTATTGACGACATTCTTATATACACCAAAGATGAAGAACATAAACAACATCTTCGATTAGTACTGGAGAAGTTAAATCAACGCCAACTTTATGCCAAATTCTGTAAGTGTGAATTTTGGCTAGATCAAGTTGCATTCTTGGGACATATAATTACCAAGAATGGAGTTACCGTAGATCCAGAAAAGATTAAAGCTGTGATGGAATGGAAGGTACCAACATCGGTACCTAAAATAAGAAGTTTTCTTAGGACTTGCTGAATATTATCGAAGGTTTATTAAAGATTTCTCTGCTATTGCAAAACCCATGACCAGATTACTTAAGAAAGACAAGGAGTTTGAATGGACATCAGAATGTCAAAGTTGTTTTCAAGAACTAAAACATAAGCTTACTACTATACCAGTATTAATCTTGCTAGACATCCAGAAGGATTTTGAGATCTACTGTGACGCCTCTCGACAAGGACTAGGTTGTGTCCTTATGCAAGAAGGTAAAGTAGTAGCTTATGCATCAAGACAACTAAGATCTCATGAAGAGAATTATCCAACACATGATTTGGAGTTAGCAGCAGTTGTACATGCATTGAAGATTTGGCGACACTATTTGATTGGAAATTATTGTAAGATCTACACTGATCACAAGAGTTTGAAATATATTTTTACTCAGACAGATCTTAATCTTCGGCAAAGAAGATGGTTAGAATTGATTAAAGATTACAATTTGGAGATTCTATACCATCCAGGAAAGGCCAATGTGATGGCTGTTGCCTTAAGCCGAAAAGCTTATTGCAATTTACGACAAGAAATACTGTCAGAACAATTACAAGCAGAATTGCTTAAGTTAAATCTTGGTATTATTAAGTTTGGAGAATTAAACACTTTGGAGTTAAAACCTACCTTGATGGATCAAATAAAAGAACATCAGAAGGAAGATTCTGAAATACAAACTTTTAAGGAACGGAAGGTGCGAAGAAAGGCTGCAGATATTACTAAAGACCTGGAAGGAATATTATGGTACGGAAATAGAATTGTCGTACCACAATCAGGAAATCTAAGAGAAATAATATTAAAGGAAGCACATGACTTTGCCTATTCTTTACACCCAGGCAGTACAAAGATGTATCATGACCTAAAATAATTATATCGGTGGCCAAACATGAAACGATATATTGTAAAATATGTCGCACTATACCATGTTTACCAACAAGTTAAAACAAAACATCAGAAGCCTACTGGACTACTGCAACCCTTACAAATACCTAAGTGGAAATGGGACGAAATAAGAGTGGATTTTATTATTGGATTAGTCAAGACTTCCACTGGATATGATTCTATATGGGTAATCATTGATAGACTTACTAAAACTGCACGATTCATTCCTGTGAAAACAACTTACACTGGAGCACAACTCGCAGAACTTTATATGACAAGAATAGTATGCTTACATGGAGTACCAAAAAGAATTATTTCCGATCGTGGTACCCAATTTACTTCACATTTTTGGCAGAAATTGCATTATGATTTGGGAAGTTATTTGGATTTTAGTACAACATTTCATCCACAACCCGGAGAACAAACGGAAAGACTAAATCAGACATTAGAAGATATGTTAAGAGCCTGTGCCCTAGATTTTGCTGCTAGTTGGGACAAATGTTTACCTTACGCAGAATTCTTATATAATAATAGTTATCAAGCCAGTTTAAAAATGTCACCACATGAAGCTTTATATGGAAGAAAATGTCGAACACCATTGATATGGACAGAAACCGGAGAAAGAAGTATATTTGGAACAGACCTTCTAAA